CACAATTTCTAACCTACAAAACTTCCACTAATTATTTAACCTGCTTCCTCTCCTCGTGCCGGAGGCGGATCGGCTGGCTTCACTGCTTCAGTTTCTACAGAACTGTTTACTCTGATCTACGATTCAATTACGCCAACCTGCTCCAATAATAGCCGGCGCCACGGCGTGCAAAACTTCATCATTTCTGCCTCCTTTTACACTTCATAACGCTGGATGATCACATGTTCAGGCTTTATGATGTTGTTATACTTTGGAAGATGCCAAAGAAAACGACTGAAAGTGGTGAACCTATATTAAAATCATTTCTGCATACGGCTGATTTTTGTTTTATTATTTTTGCAAAAAAAATTATTGAAATGTTTTTTGAATATTAAAACAGCAAAAGTTGCCCACAAAATTTTAGAAAAAACTTTTAGCTAGTTTCACATTTATTTTTCTTTATATGTTTTTTTATTTATTTATTTATTTGAAAAAGATATATATTTGATATCTTTTTAATATTTTTCTCAGATTTATACTTTCAAATTATTGTTTCTTTTTGAATTTCAGGATTTTAGGTAGAGTTTTAATTGTATTTGTCTGGAGGCGGGCTTTCCTCTGGTATGACGGGAAAAGACACATTTCTATTGGTGTGTTGGATGCTAGCAAAAACATTTTTATTGGTCAAGAGTGAAAGTTTGTGTTGGGCTCAAAGTGAAGAGAATACCAAGTGTAAATTATTCTTCGGCTAATACGTGTGTGTTGACAATTTATTAGCCGTTCAGCAGCCATGCCTTGAGATCATGTCTGTCTGCTTTCTGTTGTTAAAGTCGTAAGGAAACGGCCGTTCCAACTGTTGCATTTCTGAATTCTCCCAAGTGCTGCATGACTTTACACAAGTGAATAAAGTGAGTTTGATTGGGAAGTGCAGGTGTCACAGTGGTTAGAGTGCAGGACCCATGAATTGAGGTCTTAGTCATTGACGCAGCCGACCGGGGTTCGAATCTGACCTTTGGTCCTTTGCCGCATGGCTCTCTACCTCTCTTATACCTCCTTTCCTGTCAGGCTACTGTTAAAAAAACGAGCCACTAATGCCGTAAAAACTCAAAAAAAAAAGTGAATGTGATTGGTTGTTTATCAAGAGGGCGGGGTTGTTGTGGTGGAAGGTTCACAAGCAAGTTTGATTGTGGCCGGTTTGCGGAAGTATCATGCTAACCAGTTAGCAACTTAGTGCTAGTAGGTTCCCAATAGGAAATTCCATTGGGACCAAGTAGCACTAAATTGGTGACTTAGAAACGAC